TTATTGCCAACTTATTGGCAATTTATTACCAACTTATTGCCAATTAAGAGCAAATTTATTGCAAATTTTTTCCCAACATTAACAATTTTTGGCAACTTATTGCCAACTTACTGCGAATTTTTGCCAATTTATTGCCAACTTATTGCTAATTTATTACCAACTTACTGCCAATTTCTTGCCAATTTTTTGCCAACTTATTGCCAGTTTTTTGCCAATTTTTGGTAACTTATTGCCAACTTATTGGCAATTTATGGCAAATTTACTGCTAATTTTTGCCAATTTCTTCCCAACTTATTGCCAATTCATGGCTGATTTATTGCCAATTATTGTCAAATTGTTGCCAATTTTTTTTGCCAATTTTTTGCAACTTATTGCCAATTTTGCTGCCAATTTATTACCTAATTATGGCCAATTTTTGGCTAATTTATTGCCAATTTTTGCGGATTTTTTGCCGATTTTCCCCGTGCCACGCCCAGGCCAGGGACGCTCACCGTTGTCCTCGTTGGCTGCCAGGAATTTCCTGACCAGGTAGCGGAACCTCAGGAAGGATTTCCTGTTGGGGATCTGGTGGCCCATGGTCGGGACCTTGGCATGGCGCAGCGCCGGAGGCAGCTCCTGGGGAAAAACAGGGAATTTCAGGAAAATTTCCAGAAAAACCACCAAATTCCCATTAATTACACAGTCACAGGGTGGCAGCTCCTGAGGGAAAAATGGCAATTTCCAGAAAAAACACCAAATTCCTGTTAGTTACACAGTCACAGGGCAGCAGCTCCTGGGGAAAAACAGGGAAATCCAGGAAAATTTCCAGAAAAAAACACCAAATTCCCATTAATTACACAGTCACAGGGTGGCAGCTCCTGAGGGAAAAATGGCAATTTCCAGAAAAAACACCAAATTCCTGTTAGTTACANTCCCATTAATTACACAGTCACAGGGTGGCAGCTCCTGAGGGAAAAATGGCAATTTCCAGAAAAAACACCAAATTCCTGTTAGTTACACAGTCACATGGGATAAACCAGGGAAAACAGCTTTCCTCACTCAAAAATTCCTGTTAATTGCACAGTCACAGGGGATAAACCAGGACAAAAGCTTTCCTCATGCAAAAATTCTTACTAATTAATGAATCACAAGTGATAAACCAGAAAAAGATGACTTTTCCTCATACAAAAATTCTTATGAACTGAAGATTTACAGGTGATAAAACAGAGAAAACCAGTTTTCCTCACGCAAAAATTCTTACTAATTACACAATCCCAGGGAGCCATTTTTGAGGAGAATTCCCCAGTTTTGAGCACTGAGCTCTTCCCTCAGGAGAGCCCGAACTCTGGCTCAACAGCATCCCCAAATTTGGGCTGGTTCCGAGGATTTGGGGGCTGGAGAATTGATCCCTGGAAGGTTCCACCTCAGCCCTGGCAGAGGATTCCAAGCCCTCTCCCCACCTCCCAGGGGAGAGGATAATTTTTTGGAGAATTTTTTGAGGACAATTCCCCAGTTTTGAGCTCTTCCCTCACAGGACAGCCCAAACCCCCCCACCCCATGAACAACACCCCCAAATTTGGGCTGGTTCAGAGGATTTGGGGGCTGGAGAATTGATCCCTGGCCTGGAAGGTTCCACCTCAGGCCTGGCAGAGGATCCCAGCTCCTGCCTCCCTCCCAGGGAGCCGTTTTTGAGGAGAATTCCCCAGTTTTCGGTGCTGACCTCACGCCCATAGTAGCGCGTGGTGTAGGTGAGGTCGATGATCAGCCCCAGCTCCTCCTTCCTCTCCTGCACCTTCCTGATGAGGTCCTGAGGGGAAAATCTCTCTTCTGGCAGGAGGTTGTGATCAAAGCCCTGCAGGAAAGGATGGGTTAAAGCAGTTTTTAAAATCGGAGGGGTGGGAGAGGCTGGAGTGCCCTGGAGATCAGAGACAAGCACTCAGGCAAAAAAAAAGGAAAATCACAGTTTGGTCACTGAATTCTGGGGTTGTCTGAGTGAAAAATACATTTAAATCATGCAGTTTTATGGATTTCCTCAGAGCTTTGGGCTGCTCAGCTGGGAGTTACCAGGGGTGAGTGACAAATTCCACCCAAAGCCCACAGTGACAAAAACTCAGTGCAGCTTTGAGGGTGGAATTCAGCCCAGACACACAAACCTCACAGACCACAAAAACCACACACAAACCCCACACAAACCACACACAGAGCTGATTTCTCTCCTCCTGCCCTTCCCAGGCAGGAATTCCTCCTGCTGCCCACCCTGGAACTCATTCTTCTCCTCCTGTCTCTATCCCAAACCTCCCTGGGCAGCTCCAACATCTCTCTGCCCTTCCCAGGAATAAATCATTCCTCATGTCCAGCCTGTGGCTGTTTCTTCTCCTCCTGTTCCGAACCCCTCTGGGCATCTCCAGCATCTCTCTGCCCTTCCCAGGCAGGAATTCCTCCTCATGTCCAGCCTGGAGCTGATTCCTGTGCCTGCCCCAAACCTCCCTGCCCTTTCCAGGCAGGAATTCCTCCTGCTGCCCACCCTGAGCTGGCTCCTCTCCTCCTGCCCCAAACCTCCCTGCCCTT